CGCCGCGACGCCGTGGACTATAGCGGCGGCCTTGGGGACATCATGGACATTCTGGCGGAGTCCCGAAATGGCCGCGCCTACGACACGTGGACGCCCTACGGCTTCGTGGACGTGGACCAGATGGGCGTGGCTGACCTGGAGGCCGCCCCCTCGGGCCTCAACGCAGACCTGCACCTCGTGGAGACCCGCGACGGGTTCTCGCGCTCAGAGTCCTACAACGACTGGACCAACGTCCCGTACGAGCTGCACATGCAGGAGAGCGACCCGTACGACCTGCACCTGGCCGAGCCCGAGCCGCGCATCATCACCGAGCCGTCCGGCGACGACGACTTCGTCTTCTTCAACTGGAACGTTCCGCCGCAGCCCAGGCCGTCCATCCCGCAGTCGCCGAACGAGTGGTCGCCCATCTGGACGCCGGCGGGGGAGCAGCAGCGCCCCCAGGCCCCTACGCAGCGCCACGAGGAGCCCGCGCCCGCGCCTCCGCGACCCACACTCCCGCAGCCGACGCACACCAAGGCAGCGCCCGAGCAATCCGACAATGACAAGCAAGGCGCCTGGTCTGCCCAGGTGACCAAGGTTGAACTCGGCCAAGACTTCTGGAGTCCTTACCGCCTGCGAGGCGCCTCCTTCGGCCCCCCGGCCCCGCAGGCGCCCACCACCACCCCGACTACAACCACAACCCGACCCACAACCCCTAGGCCCACAACAACCACGGCAACAACCCCCCGAACTACATCAAGGAGACCGACTCTTCGTCCAACACGTAGAACAACACCCAAGAGGACCACAACCACAACCTCAACCACCACCACCACGACCACCACCACAACCCCAAGGCCAACAACACAACCACCAACCACCGCCCCCACCACTACACCGTCTGCAGCCACCTCTACCACCCGAGCCTGGCGCAACAGCCTCCGCTTCACCACCCGCCGCTTCACTGCCCCGCCCACCACCAGCACCCCGAGGTACACCAAGCGCCCCTCGGCCTTTCCTCGCCCCCCCTCGGCGCGACGCACCACACGCATGCCCTTGTGGAAGCTCATCAAGCATCCCGAAGCTGCGCATGCCCACACCTCTCCCTCTACCACAACACCCTCAACTACTGCAGCCACATCCACAACCACAACTACTCCGAGACCAACAACCAGAATCATTACCACCAAGAGGACCACAGCTTCGAGGCTTCCCACAGCATCCACAACCACCACCAGGACACCCACAACTACCGAGCAGCCAACCACAGCCCAGCTGAGGGTGCTCCCCATCGTGCGGCAGAGTCCCTCTCCACCACAGCTGACAGACAAGCCCCAGATCACTGGGCAGAAGTCCAAGGTGTCCATCTGGTCAAGCGCCAGCGACCACCACCACCACAAGGTCACAAAGGGCCAAGGCTTCCAGGACAAGTGGTCTGGCAAGTCCCAGGCATCGCTAAACACAGTGCACAAGCGCCATCGGCAGCAGCAGACAAACATTATGCCCTACCATGTGGATGAATTCCAACGCGCGATGGAAGGTCTCCCGCCGGTCAAGGATGGCAACATGGCCGTGGTATACTCTGTGCCCATCACCAACGTGGACGCTTTCAACACCATGTACCAGCAGTACCAGGCAATGGAGGTGCCGGCCCCAGCTCACACCCGACAGCCCACCATCATCCACGAGGCCGTCGTTAAACCACAGGAGGACGAAGTGAATGAGAATGGCCTTGGCGAGACCACCTCCTCCAGGGATGATGAGATCCTCAGTCTCCACTATGTCACCGAATCTGAAATATCCTATGAGGAAACGGACACTCCTGCAGTTCTCAGTGAAGAAGATGCTGTCCTCGTGCCCACTGAGGAGCCTCTGCCACCCACTCCTTCCAGGAGTGACATCCCCATCGCTGAGGAAGCAGCACTCGAGATTCAGCCCTCAACTGAGACCTTGGCTTTCAAACCAAGCCCAACTTTCCCATCCATCCTGAAAGTCTATGAGGAGCCTGAAGAAGTTATCATTGTCGAGGAACCAAGGCAGCCTGAAGCTTCTGCACCTAAGGACAGGTCTAAGCCACAGCTGCCTCCTCAAGCTGCCTATTACATTCCAGATATAACTATTCCTTCCACAACGGAAGCACCTGTCACAGTCAAGCTTCAAGACATAACTACCAAAACAAGCAAGGCTCCTGTTCTTCCTGAAGTTAATATTCCATCTTTCGTTCTGGAACCTGAAATTCTCCCTGAAGTAAGCACCAAAGAAGTCCCGGAACCAAGCCTTCCTGCCAGCTTAGAACCTAGCAAGGAGGAACAGAATGAAGCACATTCTGCCAATTTCGCAGTCTTCCATCAGGGCGAGGACGAGCTTCCATATTACCCAGATCAAGGCCCAGCTGAGGAGCCATCTTTCTCCATCGAGGATCTTTACCAGCCTGCTGGAGTTCTAGTGTCACAAGAGGAAGCCGTCCCAGTGTCACACTACCAGGAGTCCTCACACTTATTCCATGAGCAACTTCCACCACACTATGCCTCCTCAAAGCCCGCCCCACGGCCTATTGCATATGGTGGCCCTGTCTCACAGATGGCCAACCGACGCCATGACGATGAGGATGTAGTTCTGTTCAGTTCTAACCCACAGGAGCTGCTTGACAAGGGCTTCCTCCCCAGGCCGGTTCACTTTGTCAGCACGCCTGAGGAAGCCAACATTTGGATGAAGGAGCAATATGAGCAAAGTCCCGAAGCAGAGAAGATGGTAGAGGAGGAAGAGGAGGTTCTTATAGTGCCAACCAACACCAATGATGACTTGCTTCAAGTTCCTGTTGGTGAGAGTAAGCAGTCAGCAGGAACACCAAACTTCCACTTTAAGAAGTTGCCTTTTAAGTTCCATGCCAATGAGTGGTATCATGTGGCATTCACATGGAACAACCATGACCACCAGACAGGCATTTATGTCAACGGGGAGCTTGTGGGAACCCTGACTGGCATCCTGCCCAGCCAGAGTGCCTTCCTTGGAGGTGGCCTCACTATCCTGGGCCAGACTTTGCTCCCTGATTTGACTGACTTTGACCACACTTCACAGTTCTCTGGGGAAATGAGCGAGGTAAACATGTGGCCACAGACGCTCACCTCAGAGGCAGTGCGTGACTTGTACCAGTGCAAAACACAACTGCCAGTGTCCCCTGCACTCAGCTGGCACCAACTCTCAATGAGATTTTACAGCAGCATCCACATCCAAGACTCGAATTCTTTGTGTGGGGCATGAAGAGCAGAAAAATATACAAAAATTGCTATTCAAAACAAATTCATACATCAATGGTGAACTATTCACATATTTCCCTAAAAAATAGCACTAATATTGCCCTGAACATTGACCCTGAAGATGACAAAATTATCCGCTGATTTATCCTTTCTTCATGGCTAATAAAAATTACGACATTGTAGCAGATATGGTGGAAAAGACAAAGGCACACTGAGGGACATCTGAACCCCCCATCCTCCCACAGAAAAGATTTCTGCTTGGATGCTCTATCCTTCTATCTGCCCTATCCTCCCTCCTCCCATGGAAGGTCCTCTGTCATCCTCCCATACAGGAAATTGCTCCCTATCCCTCCTCTCATCCTCCCACAGGATCTGTCCTCCCACCCTTCATGCCCTCATCCACTCCCACCTGCCTTCCAGGGTCGCCCAAGTACTAAACCGCCACCTGTGTGAGGACACCTTCCTGAGTTACCTACTGGATGATGTCTTTCAAATCCTGAGCTACATACAGTGTCAGAAAATTGTGCTATAGACAGTATTATCATACCCCATCTAAACATTATTCTAGACTTTATTATAATACAACGTGCAGGTCGCGTTGCTGTGTGAACCACGCCTGTGTATCTCAGTGGCTTGGAACTTTTTGTGATAGTGACCTCGGAGTATTCTCAAGTAAAAGAAAAAAAAGGACAGAAAAAAATGGTGGCGTTGCGTTTGGGAAGAAAAGAAGGGTAATGGCGTAACTGGAAAACATAGGCCTGGGATTTTTTTTTTTTTTTTTGTTAATGTGCTAATTGAACTGTTTATTTGTTGCCTTGTTAGTAAATATTTATAGATGCTGTCTTCACTCACTGTCCATTGTTGCTACATGTATAGTGTTACAGCACACCAATCATCTCTTTTTGTGTTTACTTGTGTCTTTGTAGAAGAAAAAGGTAGGAATGAGAATGAATAGTTCCAAAGTGAATGATATGGAATTAATATGTTGATATCAATTCCATAATTGATATCATATCAATTATGGAAGAACATATGTTACCTTTTTTCTACATTTGTCACAATCATTTCTTGACTCGGGTCCTTGCCATTTTGAGCTTCTTTGAAAGACATTCACCATTATATACAATGCTGTCAAGATCTCTTTGACCAGAGAGGTCAGCAATATCACGGCAAGAAGCTGCATATCATTAAAATCTCTTTGGGTTTACAACAGTCAATGCTATTTGCAGATGCAAGGAATCCAAACTTATGGTTTGTTTTGGAAGATAAACAGATAATAAGTGTAAAAAAATAAATCTGTCCCACTACATTTCCACAGACTTTGTCTGTATAAAACAAATTCATAATAGGTCTGGATATCATGTAAATATATCATAACTATACTGCTTTCAAACATAAGTTTATATATTTCTTCTCTCTTTCTACCTGTAGACTGAAGGCATAGGGGGGACTTTAAAGACTTGTCCAATATAGCTTTCTTCCATTATGCATTCACCCTAAAAAGAGTACAACTAAAAGATAATCTCTTTGCTTTGGTACAGACCATGGAGGTGCTGGTTGAATTCTATATCTCAATTTCTAGGTCTGACTGGCTCGGCATACCACTAGCACCTCCTGCTAGTTGCCAGCACTCTCCATGGTCAAGTGGAAATCATACATTGTGCTAGAAGTTGCTGTTTGTTTGCTCTGTCCTACATCTAGTATATTTAGGAATAAAAATAACCTAGTTGACTACAGTTTCTACTTCTATAGCATTCGTGATGA